TGTATGTATGTATGTATGCATGCATGCATGCATGTATGTAATGTATGTATGCATGCATGTATGTAATGTATGCATGCATGCATGTATGCATGCATGTATGCATGTGTGTGTGAGTGAGCGTGTGTGGGTGTATGTATGTGGGTGTGTATGCACGCGCGAGTTTTTGCATGCACTTTACAACTCATGCTTGTGTGTTCTTTTATAATATTCATAATATGCATATCATCATATGATCAAAACATGCTTTATTAGTAATATACAACTGCTGTGCGAAAGATGGTTGACTGGAAGGGCCGAATGTAAGACGGGATTGTGTGCCCAATTTGTAACCCTTTGAAAATAAAGTTCGTGCTTTCGTTCGTTCGTTCTACCTACCTAACTATTTACTGCCTACCGACCGACCTGCCGGAATCAGCGCTTACATTGCAAAAGAAAAAATTCATTATTTTACTTTTTATTGTTACTGTTTACTTTTTATTACAGACACATCACTCGGATTTTGTCTTGAACAAAACGAAACCACGCTCGCTGCAAGCTTACGCCACACATGCAGAAATTGTAACGTATAAAAGCTACCAGTTACTAGTACTGTATGTACTACCCTGCTAGCTGCGCACGCATACTCTTAACAGTCTATACCTACCTTATCTTTCAGCATGCACATTTGTTTAGCTAGCTAGCTACCTACCTATTTATCATACCATCTACATGTCTACATGAAGAGCGAGCGAGCTACTTAAAAACTAAATATACGATTACCAACCTTTCTACCATCTAGTTACATAGTAACTAAACTATCTACACGATTACCTGCCTGCTTAACCATCGACTTGCGTACCTTCATATCTACATAACTATATATACGCGTACCTTTATATCTACATAACTATCTATACGCGTACCTTCATATCTACATAACTATCTACATGCGTACCTTCATATCTACATAACTATATACATGCGTACCTTTATATCTACATAACCATTTACATGAGTACCTTCATATCTACATAACTATCTACATGCGTACCTTTATATCTATATAACCATTTTCATGCGTACATTCACATCTACATAACTATCTACATACGTACATTTGCATCTACATAACTATCTACATGCGTACATTCACATCTAGATAACTATCTA